GTATGGGCCCCAAAATTATTTTTAGGTAAATAATTTATTTATTTTTATTTTATTTAAATTTATATCTTCTAGTAGATATATTTAAGGTGAAAAATAAATTGTAAAAAAAATACATTATGTAACTGATTAAATTAAAATTAACTTAGCTTAGAAATTATAGGTCCGAAAATATAATTGTATAAATAGGCCTGAGTTATTGTAAATTCAGATAAAATAAGAGCTTAAAATCTTGTAATATTTTGTACAAGAATGTGGGGTGATATTTTTTTTTATTTTTGCATGTACATATATTTATGATTTACAAAATAATATTTTTAAAATCTTTTTGATAATTTTATGAAATATCTTAATTTTTATTTTTTAAAATTTATTCATATAATTTTGATAAATATACGCAAATGGGAACCCTTGGCGATCACCTCACTTCCCTAGGGGTAAGGCTAACACTAAGAGGAGAGGTAGTTATGTCATAGGTTGAGGGAGGAGGTGCTCAAATGTCAGTTTTAGCAAGATTTTGTATTGTATTTGTGTGTGAGGCACAGAGAAGATAAGAGGGAAAAGGGAGGAAGGGGGAGAGATTGAGTCATTTAGAGGATCGATNCGCTTGATCATCTTTTTGTGTCATAGCAAATACCCATCCCTGAGCTCCTGATGTACTAGTAGATCCCATTCCTCCTCTCAATGCACTTCCTTGTGTACCCTTACCACCAAGTGTCACATTACCCACCGATGATGTTCCAGCATACCCACTTGGAAAATCTCACATCACATGTCCTATTTGCCCCATAACCATGGCACTGTCGTTCCTCACCTAACATTGTTATTCCACAATCTCAAGCCATATGCCATTCCACTCCACACTTATAGCAAGTCACACTTCCTGCTCAACTACTAGCTGATCCTCTACCTGGCTGTCCTGTAGAGAATCTAGAAAAACTTTGACCTCATGAGTTGGCCGATGCTCTACCATACCTTGCACCTCTAGCTTGAGAAAAATGTTGTCCTTGCTTCTTGGATTCTGAAACTTGACCCATAGGTTGGAATTCCCTACCTGATACACTATCAAACCTTCCTTTCTTAAATTGTTCATGCTGTCCCGCTGACTATTGAACATCCTTTTCAACCACTAAATCTTTATTCACCAAAGCTAAATAACTTGTTAATTCAAAAGCTAACAAAAGAGTTCGGATCGGGTAATCTAACCCTCATTAAAGCTTCTTGCACCTTTCCTCATCAATCTGGACAAAAAGCTCTAGCAAACTGACACAATGTAGTAAATTGTTTTTCATACTCTGACATTGACATCATCCCTTAAGTTAGTGTCATGAAGGCATGCTCTTGTCCATAGCGATATGACTCTTCAAAACACTTGGTATTGAACTCTTTCACGAATTGATACCATGTAACCTTTCTCTGTACTTGAGTACCCTCACCAGCAACTAGAGAAGTTAATAATCGNATACCTTTTACATTTGACTTTTATCATCCTTTACTTGCATTCCATGTGTGATGTCATTAATGGATGTCATAATTTTAGAACACATAGATGACATATCTGTGGGTTCCCTTCTTTTTTTCATTTTAGCAAATATTTTTGGAACATTAACCTTGTTGAAACAGACCACAACAATTTACATGAAATTGTAGTTAATTATCTCTCAGAATAATTTTTCTTGTTTCAACATAATTGAGTGCAAAGAAAAGAAGGCACAATTTTATATTGTTACATATTCTATTCTGATCATAGCAACAAAAAAAAATTAAACTATTTTAATTCTTATGACTTTACTTGTGCTTGGGCGGGTACAAGGGAAACGGGGACGAAAATTATAAATTTAGGAATAGAGATGAAAATTATATCCGTTAGTGGGAGTGGATAAGGGATGGACGAAAGTTTTTGAAGCGGATACGGGGATAAAGATTATACCCCTACCTCGTTTCGATTTATTGACACCCCTAATTCTAACAGTTGAGTCTCGGAGAGAAAGAGAGAGATAGATATGAGGTGGTCGTGATGATTAAGAATGGTCACCAGTGCATAGGGATACTTAGGGGAAGGGTGGGGGAGGGTATCTGGTCGGGCCGTATTGAGCTGCTGACAATTTTTTTTGGATCTATTTTGGGTGGGGGGTGTTTTCTGGTATTGGGGCTGCCAATAATGGTGAGGATAATACTATTTTTTTAATTTTTTAGAGACTATTTTATTTTTTCATTTATGTCCAATGCCTTGAAAGGACAATGACAAACATATTCCTTAATACTCTCACGTACCAGACAAATGACATTTTCGTCACTTTTTTGAATAGCAATTAGTGCGTAGAATCTCATTTGTTGAAAGTTGGGAATCAAATTGATTATGACTAACATTAAACGTAAGGAACCGTTTGTACAATTTACCCACAAGTTTTTTACTGTAACTTCCAGCCAATCATGCCCGCTGGATTAGGTGCCAGTGATCCATTTAAATAACTCAAAGCAAAGGAATGTCATTGGTGAATACAGAAATCCGCAGATTGTCAGCATGTCTCGTACCTCAGCCGTTAGATCACCATCGGGGCCCTCCNAAATCTTTTTGATAATTTTATGAAATATCTTAATTTTTATTTTTTAAAATTTATTCATATAATTTTGATAAATATACGCAAATGGGAACCCTTGGCGATCACCTCACTTCCCTAGGGGTAAGGCTAACACTAGGAGGAGAGGTAGTTATGTCATAGGTTGAGGGAGGAGGTGCTCAAATGTCAGTTTTAGCAAGATTTTGTATTGTATTTGTGTGTGAGGCACAGAGAAGATAAGAGGGAAAAGGGAGGAAGGGGGAGAGATTGAGTCATTTAGAGGATCGATGGTGGTGATGGATACCAACAATGGAAGATGGATTCTAACTAGGGATGACAGTGGACCAGGAAAAAATGAATATTCGTTTAAATTCGTCCTATTTGGATCGGGGATGGACTTACCCTTACCCCTGCCCCTGTCCCCGTTACCCGTTATATATATATATATATATATATATATATATA